GCATGGCTGGCTCAGGAATTCTGGGAGTTGAAGTCCACGAGTCATAAAAGAGCCAAGGTTGCCTACCCCTGATCTAGGGTAAAGGATTTAGGAGTTGGAACTTTTACATCTAATCCAGATTAGATGAGAAATAAAACTATCCCGGAGGATATACAGGGGGACTCTCTATCCAACTTGCTCAGACGGATGAGGCTTCTTGGATAACCATCAAACCATCAAGAAAAGATGGTTCCCTTGACTCAACTTCCAGAAAACTCTACCTGGATCACTGAGAATTTTAATTGACATTCTGTTAGAAAAGAAAACTGATGTATACAGGTGTAGCATATTTTGCTGGTATTTTTGCACTGAATCGATTCACAAATAAAAATATTACAACAAAAATCCTAAGGTTTGTATTTTTTTAGTATATTAAAAGTGAACTCAGGGATAATTCACACATTTATAATTCGCAGTGGAAATTAACTAAAAATGCAGATATAACACTATTAAAACCTTAAAGTATTAAAATAAGAGAAAGAAATAATATTAATAAAATTCATATTTTGATACTATTTTTGCACTCAAGCATTTAATTTTAGATTTCTATTCAGCATAACAGAGGTCAGGATGTATTTATTAAAAATTGTTATACTCTTTTTCCTGTGTTTGCAGACAGCTTCATACTTCATTTTCCCTGTGTTTTTCTCATGTCTATTTTTAATTCATAAGCATACAGCAGATATATTTGGTACAACACAAAAAGAATCAGTATGAGATGATTGAACAGGAAGAAAAAGAAGAGTCTGAAAACAAAAAATTATTCTATAGCATATATTTTCTGCTGTTGCACAATGAGCCTTACAAAGTATGGGTTGAATAATATTGTGTACTCTAGCCAGCTTCTTTTAAGACATTTTATTTTCAAAAAAGGAACAATAGAGATCTTTATAAAAAGAATCTGTTGCATTTGTTGTATTTCTGCGGATCAAGCCGACTACGAAAGAGTGAGGTATTTCCCTTGCCAGACTGATTCACTAAGTGGGGAGAAATTTAATAGTTAATTTATCCTCAAAAAGCAGACAGTGTAGATGTTTATCTTTTGTCTATCTTTTGTCAGTGAGGTTATGCTCAGGCCAATTGAATGTTGGGTGGAGAAAGCTTGTGGCTGAACTTGATAATAGATTCATGCAAATGCTCAGTGCTGCATAGTTCAGCCTACAGATGGTCTTACTGTAAATTCAGCCAGCTCCTTTCCATGATTTAGCTGCCATGACAACTGCACTGCTTTCTGGTGCCTTGTACAATTATGTGTGAAAAAGCTGAAAAGAATTCATATTTTTAGCATTTTCCTACTGAAAGCAGCAAAAGCCTTCCTTCAATCTAGCCAGTATTTATCATTGTCATGGGATAACAAATACAAACATCCCTGTTAAGCAAAGGGAATGAAGTGTTAATATACTTACTAAAGAGTAAGTGTTAATAGATAGAGTTGGACGGATTTTTTTTTTTTATAAAAGTCTATACCAGGGGTGTCAAACTGCCGGCCCATGGGCCGGATGTGTCATCCAGAAGCTGCGCCCACCCCATTGCCAGCAATGGCAAAACCGTCCCGATACGTTGCGTGACATCACGAGTTTGACATGTGTGGTCTATACTCTTCAGTCTATACTCTTCAGCACTCTATCCATGTTTTTATTAAATGGTACTTTTCTCTCATAATCCCTTTCTAGAATGAAATTCAGATAGGTTTACTGGGGTAAAATAAAACACATTGCTCTAACATATCAAATATGTTTAGTGTCTTTAGAAATCATTGTGGAAAAACTTTTTATTTTTAAGAAAACTGTTTCATCCTTCATAGAGCAATTGTTGCTGACTGTAGGCGGTGGAAAGAAAGACTGCTGTTTAGTCATAATTATCATGGGTTAAATTAATATGGAAAAGCTATTGCTCAAATTATGACCACTGTGCAGGCTTTTCAAAAGTTCCAGTCAAATAAATATTTTTTCCCAAATGTCTCTCATCATTTAGGGCTGGTTTAGATGGAATAGAGGGTAATCTTTTAAATGAGAGCAGACTAAAGGAGAATGTGCTTTCCTTTTTTCCTTTATTATAAATACTCCTGAGATCATCCCAACTTTGCTTGAGTATTCAGGCTGCAGCTAAAACCTTGCTCAGTCATTAACATTATTTGGAGCACTCCATTTGTAAACTTGCTGGGTAGCATCATTAGAAGTTGTGTGTGAGGATGTATGTTTGTGGGTAAGCTTTTCTCTTCCATAAAGAGGTGGTAAATGGAGAACTGATGTTGGACAAGCGGAAATGCTCATGTTGTGTACTATGAAAACACATCAGATTCCCTATTTAGTCAAGCCAGTAAAATGGAATCAATTGCCATTATCAATAGCATTCATACAGACATTTCCCAGTTAAAATGGCAGGATTTGTATCAGAAGGGGGGGAAGTGTTACTTCCCATGAATGAGTCCCAATATCATAAACACGATAAGACATTTCTTATTACTTTACAAAATGTTTGTAATTTCTGTTCTGTTCAGTATGCTTCATTGTTTATTTCAGTTAGCCTATTTAGGGATTTATTTTATATGATTTACATTATATCCTATCTTTTTGCCAGTTATGCCTTTAGCAAAATAAATGATTAAAACTATAGTTCTTATTTAAAAAAAAATAAAACACACCAAGAAAATATCTTGCATACTTCTCCAGCTCCATAGATAAAACATGCCTATGCATCAAAGGTCCTGTCTACATTGTAAAAATAAATAGAAGCAGTTTTGCTTGCTGGAAGACAAAGCTTATGAGAAGCCATCAAGAATGCCTTCCCATCAGCTTTGCTTCCAATGAAGGAATAATCAAGAGAACAAGTCCTCTGCAAAATCATAATGCTCAATGCTTTTAAATAAAATCACATGATAAAGTCATAAGTCCAGTTCTGAGTCAAAATATCTTTCACAATGAATCGTGAATTTCTGGAGGCAGCTGCAAGAAAATGTGATGGCAGTGTTTTGATTATCTGCAGTTACCAAACACTTCTCAAAGGCAATTCCACATACAGTTGTACAGTAGTTCATGGACAATTGTAAGAATGCTTCTAAACCAGGAGTGTCAAACTCGCAACGTCACATGACGTGTCACGACATATGATGACTTTTTTCTCATTGATGGCAATGGGGTGGGTGCAATTTCGGCATGACACATCCAGCCCATGGGCCAACAGTTTGAGACCCCTGTTCTAAACAAATAATATCAAATGCATGCTAGAAGACAGCTAAAAATGAGTAGAAGAAATTGCCAAGAAAGCTAAGCAAATAATATATCAAATTTTGTTTTAAGTAGACATTTATTTTCTAGTGTATTCATACTGGATTATATTATATTTCTTTCAATCATCCTTCAAAAAGCATTTTATCCTTAAAAATATCTATATATGTGTATTCGACTATTTGTAGCCTTCATGAATGTGTCTCCTTTTAAATATATATATTCTGGTACCTCTAGCACTGTCACTATTTTGTGAAAGTGAAATCTATTGGTTAGATCTGTTTTGTCATTCACTGTTATTCAGGTTTGTTTGATAATGTTTCTCACCACATAATGAAGTTTAATCATGACTTCTTCACCTTCTATATCCTTTCCGTGGCTAGGTTCCTGAATGTCTTAGATTCAGACTGGGGCTAATTAATGCTAGATCTGTACAAAATTCAATCTACTGGTGGAAGAACATGCAAACTTGGCATGTATTAAAATAGTTTAATGGTACCATAAGAAATTTATTTCCTAAGGTTTTGGGTCCTGAAGTGTGTAACCATAAAGACTTGGATGAAAGGAGGAAAACACCTCTTCTGGTCCTATTAGATCTCAACAGCTTTTGATACCAAAACTATGATATGCTTCTGGACTGAGGGCTGAAGGTACCATGTTGCATTGACTGGGTAGCCCCATTCAGTAGTCACAGGAAAAGAAAGGTAGAGTTGAAGCTTGCTCTAGTGTGTGATACCACAGAGCTTGGTCTTCTTCCCAATGTTATTTAATATCTATGTGGAACTGCTAGAATGGTCACCTGTCTGTTAAGAGTGGGATACCATTACTATCCTACATCAATTATATTTTGCCATAGTGGGTTAGGGCTGAAGTGCTGTGGAGGCCCTGACAGTCTTGGAACTGTCAGCTGGATAGAGGTAATCTGACTAAGCCTAAGCAAAACAGTCTTACTATTTGTTTATAGAAATTTTGGTTTTCCTAAATAATCCCACTTTTAGCTCTAGATTGAAGTTATGGTTCCTCTGAAGAAATTGGTTTATGATTAGGAAGTACCAGTAGGGGCTCTACCTTGACTAGAAGATGCTAATGGCAGTAACTCATAACCTTTTACAGCATGGTTAGACCTGAAAAATGTGTTCTTTCTGGGAAGGTACAACTGGTGTAAGATGTATTGACTGCTTGCAGATAGTTCCTGCCAATGTAGAATGACACTTTTTTTTTTTTTTTGGTCCTCTGCTGCTTCCAATCCAAATTCAAAATGCTATGCCTATAAAACCTTAAACGGCATAACCCTTGATTACTTTAAGAATTGCCTTATCCAAAATGAGTCTTCTCTTCCTTTTAGGTCATCCAGAGAGGGACTTTTTAGGGTGCTGTCCTGTTGAGAACTGAGGGAGCCTGGGTCTATGGAATAGACTGTGCTGGGAATGGACCTTCAGTGCTGTTTATTAGAAAGATGTCATTCATTACCTGTTCTTGATAATTTTTATTGATGTGATTGTTTTTATGTGAAGATCACGGTTGAGATTCATGTATAGCATCCAGAGTCATGACATTGGGTAGTAAAAAAATTAAAAAAAAATAAAATTGTACATATTCATTGTTTATTTGTGTTTAACTTTCAATGGTACAAGCAACAATAATTGCCTATGGAAGGCAAATAATAAATGCATAATGTGAACTCTGCATCTCAGCCTCTGTTGGCCTCTTGTGACATGTTACATTTTTTTTAAGGTTACCTGTTTGCAAGACTTTTTTGGTGACGATGATGTTTTTATTGCCTGTGGACCTGAAAAATACCGTTATGCTCAAGATGATTTTGTTCTGGATCATAGTGGTAAGATACACATCTAAAATGCTTTATGAATTACAAGAATCCACTTAAGCCAACTGATCATGATATAGACAATATATTGTCCATTCTTCTAGAGTAACTAATGTAATCATACCCTGGAGAAATATACAAGCATATTTATTATTTATTTATTAAACTTGTGATATCATTGAATCATTTAAGTTTCCAACCAATTTATAGCAAGTTGGCTGCTGATTTAATATTTAAGGCATTTAATCAGTTTCAGGTTTAGATGCTTTGAATTCTAACAGACCCATTTTCTGGTAAAATACTAAGGCATACTCCCACCCCCAAATCACTAATGAGGAAATGACCAGTGTTTAAATGACTTTATATTATAAGTATTTTCCTCGATTTATTTAATATAGAAAACTGTTTTTCATTTTCCAGAATGGTTTTTAATGGTTTTATCAAATTCTTGTCAATATATCCATAGTGTCTATGGGGAAAGGACATTACAAACATTTTAAAGAAAATGAGATCCTATGTAGATCCACTCTGAGGGAAATCAGCAGATTAGAAATATGAAAAATAATTAAAATAAATTAAATAAATATCATTGGCATAATGATAAAACCAAAATGTAATGATTTGTGAAAGCTAACACTGTCATGGCTTTTACTGGGTGCCTAGGTAGATGAATGTACCCATGTAGGATGCCATTTGATTGTATGTATATGTTACTTGTAAGGGGAGATTTGAAGGATATACAAGTAGAATTTCAGAACTTGATGCCTCTGATCTTATTCTTATCAATTCACTCAGTAAATTATTTTGGTGCCAAACATGATCCTGCAGGCTTTTTATGCATAATACAGCATAGTTTTGTTAACACAGCACAAGTGAAACTCTACCTGATTGGAACAATTCCTGTAGCAATCCACCAAAACATTACAATATCCCACCAAAACATTACAATATCCCACTCATACAGAATTTAAAAAAATGATTGCACACTATACTAACAGAATAGTTAACCTGCCCACAATCATACAGAAAAAACATTCTAATCGCTTATTTTACAGCATCGCTAACAAGTCAGTTTGCTCAAATGTACATTTAAAACAACTTGGGAAAAGATTTATTGAAACAGAACTACACACTGACTTGGCAACTGTATTTTGTTCATTTGGTAATAACTATTTAGGAACAGTAATTTAGGAACAACTACTATTGTGGGTGATTTAAATTTTGGAAGTGATTGTGCATTGAAAATATGTATCCTACCGTCCATCTGTGTTGTTTGTAGAATGCCGTGTTATGAAATCATCTTATTCCCGTGCATCTGGAACAACAAGATATTCTGGATCTAAAAGTCCTGGGCCTTCACGTCGAAGCAAGTCCCCAGCTTCAGGTAATTGAAAACAGAACTGCTCTTTAGAACTTCATTTTTTTCATACATGGCTCAACCCCTTTGGTAGAATCAAGCAATCAGAAATTAGAGACTAAACATTTAAACTTACAAAAATTGCCAGTACAATAAGTAAATTGATATACAAAATAAGGAATAAATACCTCTAAAACCATATTAAAAACATGTAATGTGCTGCAACAATTAATAAAGCTTAACTCATTTTTAAACGTTCAGTAACATTTCAACATCTCTAAGGAGGCAGTTCCATAGAGGGAGCATAGAAAATTGATCATTGCCGTTTTCACTAACAACAAGGAACATGTGAAGGCATTTAAGAACCAAGTGCTCTACCAAGTTCCCGCAAAGCAACTTACAACCTTTAAACCACTATAAATCTGAGCAAGGGATGTGCCTAATATTACATGCACAGATTGTTCCATGCTTGGAACAACTGTTTCATGTGGCCAATGCCTGACCCAAAACATGCTTTTTTGAAGTATTTTGATACATAGAGGGACAAAATGGAGTGGGAGACCAGGGAAAGAGCCAGGGACATGGGTAACTAAGAAGAGTGGGAAATAGCTGAAAGTTTCATGGTGGGTGGTTTGGTAGGCTATGCTGTGGTAGTGCATGATAGTGGTTTTTGTATTCCTTGTTTTTAAACGTTTTTAACAATTGGTAAACCTTTCAGAATTGATGAGATTTGGGCAGCATATAAATTTAATTTAATTTATGGTTGGTTGCAGTCAACCAGATATTTAAACTGATTTGGCATTTTTAACTGCCTACTGAGTCCTTTCCCAAGGACCTGGTGTCAGCAAATGTTGTTGTTTCATAGTGTAAAGGTATTATTGCAGGATAAAAGCTGTTCCAAGTACAAGTAGACTCTGATGTCATTTGTCTGATTAACGAAACACTTCAAAGAACTTTCAGGCATTTTTTTAGCCTAAAAAGCCTTTATTAGTATTACAGAGATGTCAGCATGGCATGGCGGAAATGCTAAGATCTGAATTTCCCTTCCTTTGCACATAACATTCCAGGCATTTCCCCTCCCCTGTTTTGGAGTCATGATTCACATCTTCCAATTAACTTGGAGGGCAAAGATTCACTTTCGTTTCTTTTTCCCGGGCTTTCCTTATATTCTCCTCCCCTTTCACTGTCACCTGATTTAACTCTTAAAATACCAGACAGTTCTGCATATATTATCAAAGCAAGAATATTTAATATTAGCAGTGTTGACATCTGACCTATGACCAAAATTGAATTTGGAATTTGCTTATAAGTCGTTGTGGTTAGAAGTTGAGTTACCATACGACCAGACACAATTTTAAGGCCATTTTTACAAGTAATTAACTGCAGTTTTTAGGCCAATCACATGATTGTTAAATGATCGTAAGTCCAAATCCAGCTTATCCAATGGCCTTTTTTTTGCCAAAAAATAGCAAAAACTTTGTAAAACACAATCATGTAATTGTGGGACATCGCAACTAACAGTGTTCTAATATCTAAGGGGCTGCCACAAAGAAGAGGGGGTCAACCTACTCTCCAAAGCACCTGAAGGCAGGACAAGGAGCAATGGATGGAAACCAATCAAGGAGAAAACCAAAGAATTAAGGAGAAATTTACAATTAATTGGTGGAATGAATTGCCTCCAGAAGTTACGGGTGCTCCAATATTGGAGATTTTTAAGAAGAAGCAGGGTTTCCTGCTTGAGCAGAGGTTGGACCAGAAGACCTCCAAGGTCCCTTCCAACTTTGTTTTTCTGTTGTTTTGTAAATGTGAGCTGGTTGCCAAGAGCCCAAAATTTTGTGGTCAAAATGTGACCATAAAGGTGGTATGGCAGTCATAATTTCAAGGATGGGTCAGAACTTTTTTTGAGTCCATTATAACTTTGAAAGGTCTTTAAGCAATCAGTTGTAAGTTGAAGTCTACCTGAAAGCTGCCTTTTGCAACAGATTGATGGTGATTTTGTCAATGCTGATGATGTTTGAGTAGTGTTCCAGATGTTTTGGAATTGCACACAGGTCACCTATTACCATTGGTACTATCTTTGCTTTGTTTTGCCATAGTCATTCTACTTCTATTTGCAGGTCTTTTTTGTGATTTTCTGCAGTTATTATTATTATTCATCTGTACTTGGTACCAGTCATTGATACAGTAGAAGTTTTGACTTGAGGCCTGGAGGATGTGGATAGAAGAAACATAGGCAGAGGGAGGCTATAATTAGAGTGAGCCTTCATCCAGCTTCAGTCCATTGTGCCAGTTATGACCATTCCTGGAGAAATAAGCCTTTCTGGTAGAACTCACATTATTGGCCCCTTCTACACAGATTACTGCAATGTGCTCTAGATGGGGCAGCCTTTAAAGACTGCTGAGACGCTGCAGATGGTGCTAAGTACTGCAGTCTACCTTTTGGCAAGCAAGAGCCATTGCATATCACACATAACACCAAACAGGGCTCAATATAAAATCTGATATTTTTTGATCTATAAAGTCTTATATGGTTTTGAATCCAGATAGCCATAGAACCATTTGCTTTAAACTCAGTGCCTGCCAGTAAAGCAGGTACGTCTACTGAACGTTTCTTTTCATATGAAATTCAGAGAAGAAGAAGAAATCTGTTCTTTACTGTTATGACACTAACTTTCTGGAATATTCCCTTCCTAGAATCCTGATGGCACCCGCTGCTATTCTGACTTTCAAAAAAGCTGCTAAAACTAAACTGTCCAAAATGTTTTTTTTTGTCATCCAGAAAATGTAGCAATTACTATGATTAGAAGGTTCATAATTTAATAGTAACATTATAGCATACTAATGAATCGTTTTGATTGTTTTGGGTAAGTGGTATTGTTTTTAAGGCTAAATCATAACTCATTTAGCAATGAGGTAGCATAAAATATAATTAATTAATTAATCTCCATATTGGTGATACCCAACTCCAGAACCTATAATAACCTACTCCATAGTTTCATATAAAGGGACAAAATTGCTCTGTACAACAGAGCTGCCAGGGTATATACCCTACCAGGGTACAAAATAATATTTATTAAGATTATCCCTTCAAGTAAGAGAGTGACCATTGTATAGCAAGACTCTAGTTGCCAATTTGAAATGGTGGTCAAATACTGATGAAATGAAGCAGGATCAATAGTCACACACTTTCTGTTTCTTTTCTGTAAGAAGTCACCAATTTGGGCAACTATGGCTGATTCTGTCCTAACCAGGCTTCAGCAGCCTGAAATAGATTCAGATAATCAATGTACTTACAGACATTTTGATTTGGAATGTAATTGTGTAGAACAATGTGCTGTGCAACAGCTTCTCAACATCAGAAGGTGTGAGGAAGACTCACAAAACTACCATTATTAAAGTATGTTTTAAGAAGTTGGTGTCTAGCTCAGGGCAGTTCTCGCATAACAAACAAGACAAATATCAAAAGTATCATATATACACTACAGTTCCCAGTGTAAGGACCAAGTGATAAATAATGTAATGTGCTTGACAATGTAGCGTCAGTATTGTATGACAATAAAATTAAACAGACAGTAATTAAATTTATTCCTCAGAAAGTATGCATGCTCTGCTAAAATCATGGTTTTAACTTAATCCCAAACTGACTTCCCCACCTTTCCCATAGCGTGGTTATGCCTGAAGCACTTTAAAAATGCTTGAAAGTTTCAATTTCACACTTACAGTGATTTTCAACTTGAAATAATTCAGATTTGAAACATTTTGCTCTTTTTTTGCAATAATTTAATGAGTTTTTATGTTAGTTTAAGGAGGACTGCCTATGGTAATATTTAAGTTTATCGTATCTTTGCTAGAAAACAAATAGTTGAATTTTCCCCTTCTCTCTCTGTTGTTTTCTCTTCTCACCTATGAATAACCTTTCTTCTTTTTCTTTTTTATCAATTGAATGAGTACAGTAAAGAGGGGTGGCCACTACTCCAGTACATGCTCTTCAGCAAAATCCCCAGGTGAGCCATTCATGCTATGGCTTCATTTCACCACCTTGTCTCCTACATTTTTATTTTACTTTTTCTGTCCGTTGATCTATTCCTTTATCTTTACATTAAACATCTCTATGATTAGCAAAACTAAGACTTAATGTGTTTATTCCTCTTTTCCATAAGACCTTGGAAAATAGTAGCATATATGTTAACGTTATATTATATTAGATAATTGATTTATTAAGATATCATTTAAGTAGATAATCACTATTAAAGAAAGATGTGTTAACTGAACTCATATAGCTAAATTTGTGGTTGGAGGCATACAGTTACAACAACAAAAATGAGGAAATAAATAAATAATGAAATAAAGCATATTTTATAATTTGCTTATGTAGAAAATTATGTCAGAAATAAAAGTCCTATTAATTTGTGTTAGAGATTTGTTTATCAGTTGATAGGAGTAACAATAGTGGCTTCTAAGGACTTAATGAATGCAGCTGAATTAACTGTTTTGCTTACAGTATACAGTATAGGTTTATAAATAGAGTTTTGTAAATACAATAAACAGTATAGATTTGTAAATAGACTTGTGAAAGATGCTAGTATTTATTAGCCTTGTGAAAAGTTAATAGTCTGATTTTCATTTTAATATCAACTACAGAAAAGGAAAGTTTTCCTTCCTTTCTGTGTAGGATAAAGCATTATGACCACTTTCGTCTTCACTTACATGGCATTACTTTATTTATTACTTCATTTCTCTTAACCTGAAGAGTTGATAAACATGAACTTGGTATTCTGAAACTGTTTCCAGTTTCTGGTTTCTGCCATTGAGTGATATGATTCAAAGTTTTGAAATGTTTTGAAATATTGTAGGTAAGTAATTTTCAGAACACTATGAAAACTCTACACTTAAAATAAGAGGAAAAAATATTCATCATGCATTAGTGTCTTTTGGAAGGGGTTGTTTTGCTATCTGGCAATCCCCTTTTTTCCCTTGCCTTCCATTGCAATATGACTTTTATTTTATGTGGATTAAATCATTCACATCTGTGCGAAGCCAATTATAAGGATGTCTTTCAGAAGATTTTCCTTTTGTCAATTTGTATTTTGTGCTGTTTGGAGCGATGCTGTTGAATTTGGTTAGTTGGCTCTGATCCAGACTCCTAAAACTGACTGATTTTAGTTAAAAATTCAGTTCTGGCTCTTTATAAATGCAAGGAGCGTAAACTACTTGTTATTTTATTTTGTATACCCAATAGATACAAAAAACTTGTATATTCTGCAACTTGTTTGATAAAGATAGAGGCACAAGAGGAAGATATAGACATTGCAAATGTGGTCTAAAAATAAAATGAATGTTGTAATTGTGGGTAGACTGTAGCTCTCCAAAATCCCAGTTACCTTCTCACATTCTGTGTGTTGTGTGCAGATCTGAAAAATGCCAAGGTGGAGAAACCTGTTCTTAATCATTTAAAATGTAATGCTGATATTTCAGAGAAAAAAGCCTAGTTTCTCTGCATGCATGTTGGCTGTAAATATTAAAGACTTTTATTTGTCTATTATTTATTTATTGATTGATTTATTTTAGATCTCATTTGGCATATTCATCTTTGCAGACATTCACATAGCATAGCACTTGTTAAATGAATGTTCTGTTGCCCATTATAGATATTCTTTACAGAGCTCAAATGTGTACGTTGTTACAAGGATTTCCATGGAAACTAAATACCTAGTTGACAGACTCATTAAAAAAAGCAACAGAACTATAGTTGAAAACAGTATGGCTCCAAAAGCATTTTCTTCTTTCTGGGAAATCATGAAAACACTAAAGCATAAATTATATCATTGAGAGCATGGTTGCTATGTTCAGACACCGTATAAATAAGCTATTGTTGGTAGATGTTAGAGTCTGATGAAGCATTATAAAAAAGCTTAGGAAATCCAGTTAATAAAGGATATATTATTTCTGCATTTGTTTTATTTACAAGTATGTATGCCATCCACACCCGGATGGATTTGTTTGACTTTTTAAAATGTATTTTTATTGTTTTTAAATCAATAGCAAGAAAAAAGAAAAGCAATATGTAAAGATAATTATAATGCAAAGACATACATTTTCAAAGAAGTGCATTAAGAAAGTGAAAAATAGAATGCAAAAAATAAAATGTATCAATGAGCAGTTAACAATTCTATATATATATTTATCTGATGTAAATAATATTCAAGTACAGATATATTAATTTCTAATAGTAATATAACCTTAATTATCTATTTAATCTACTGTCATTTGTGTAAATTAATTCTAGATTTCATTACACTTATCCATACAAAGTCTACATCTATAGGCAATCCACTCAAAGGTGACAAATATAACCAGGTTTTCTATTAGTTGAGTGAATGAGGACATACATTTACTTTTCCAGTATTGCGGTATTGGTCTTTTAGCCATAATAAGGGCACAGAGAATCCATTTATGTTGTCCAGTTGTGAATTCCATGCACTAGGTATGAAGTTCAAGAGAATGTTACCTTTTGACAATTTTAGCTTTTTTTAGTTTCATATTTATCTAGTCTGCTACTGTGTCTCAAAATTTAGTAAGTACAGGACATTGTAAAAATGTGTGTTTTAAGGGAGCATGGATCTGTTTGACTTAATACGAGGTAATTATATGAACGGTGGAATAAAAATGTAAGAAACCTGAAAGACTTGGTTAAGACAGCCCCTCCTAAACTCTAATAAGGACAGGTCTGACTTGACACCTAGAGAATTTGTCCACAATATAGATCTCAGGAAAACAAAATTGACTTTTTATGTTGTTTCGGGAATCAGGCTTAATTAGAAGGAGACTGTAATTAGTGGTTGGACCTGCAAAAGATGTTCCATAAGATGTGAAGGTCAGATTTAAAGAATAGGTACTCCTGTATATAACTTGGGTCTTAGTCTTGTAAACAAATAAGCACATTGAACCACATAGTTATTTCTACAGGAGCAATGTAGCACCTGTGAGTAATATAGCATCTGCACTATTTGAGGCCAGCTACAATTTCTGAACAACCTGCAAGGATTAGTCCGTGCATTACAGTAATCCAATGGATTTTCTTGAGAAGGATTTACTGATAAAACATTTGATAGTGAAACAATAATAGCTAAGAAGTCGATAAACAAAGCATATACATAAAGCTTACAGATAGACAAGATAACTATCAATGGTTACCAGTACAATACAGAAGAAAACTCTTAAAAGCAATCTTTCCAATTTGTTATTTGAGAACTCTGGGAACTGTGGTCATAATATAAAAGGAAGGATACCAGTCTGGAAAGATTGTGCTGATGCTTGAATTGACATACCAAGGAAGACTTTCTTAAAAAGTCCTAAGGATAGCCAAGGAAAAGGACTTAGCAAAGAGAATTATCTGGGGGGGGGGAACGTTTAAATACAATGAACCATTGAAAATGTTGAAAACAAAGAAAAAATAAGATTGCTTCTTTGAAAAAAAAGTGATGGATACAAGCATTAGAAACAGGATTTAACAGCTCTTGATAAGCATATCTTGTTGAACTTGTTATACTTCTCATACTGTGTATCACCATAGATCAATTGAAAGCATCACCTCTTTACCAGAACTCCAACTTTTATTTTACTGTATAACACGTTCATTTCTCTTCTTTTTTTATAAGTCAGTGGAGCCCCCAGCAGCCAGATTTCTACTCCTAAATCAACAAAATCATCTGGTTCCTCACCAACTAGTCCTGGAAGTTTTCGAGGACTCAAGGTATATTTTATGTGATTTCATCTGTTTCATAAAAATATTAGGTGGGATTAATAATACTTATTCACATTTAGAATATTGATAACATAATTGGAAATTATTATTAGATTTAAATTTATTATTAGGTTTTAGATTTAAAACATATTCCAAGTGAATGTTAAGCCCTAACAGTAAGAGCAGTTCAACAGCTGGCATGGCAGATTGATTTCATTGGCTAGAACCAAACTAGACCATCATCCATTTTGAATGTTTTTATTTGGATTAGACCAAAAGAATCTTTCCAAGACTATGATTGTATTAGTCTTTTCGGTTTCTTTTTCTTTTCTGTTAAAACCAAATTGTAAAAATATAGGTTACGTTTTCGGGATCCGGAAATACTCAAAATGGACCCATTGCAATAAGTGAAGTTTAGGTTAGATGAGTTTTTTTAAGTCCCACTAATTTTCAGTATTACCTGTTCAAGAAGTCTAAAGGATTAAGTATGGTTATTGATAAAAAGTATATGATAATGCTTTAAGAAAAAACTGGATTGCATCCTATAATCGACAGTGTATTTATCTGATCCTAAAAAACTAAGCTAGACCCATGCATTAACAGATATGTCTTTGAACTGTTAGAAAATGCCAATTAAATCTTATTTAACATTTGATGGATGTCTGAAACTATAGTTCAGAAATATTAAATAACAATTATTAAATATTTAATATATATCCAACATTTCAATTTGTTTTGCATTTTGATGTATGTTATTGCCATAGCATTAGTTGTTTTGTCTACTGACAGATTCTCCCTCCTTGTGAATCTTCTTCTAATGTAAATGGTGTGCCTGAAATATCTCCTTACCTGAATCCTGAAGGTAAGAATCCAATCAGGCATGTTAGTGTTAATTTCAGATTCTTTTTTGAAATAAATATCCATGTAAGTGATATTATAATCTAGAAATATTAAACTTTATTGTCTAACTTTACTTAAACATAACTATAATCTGATGTATATATAAATCGCAGATGAATGGCACCAGTAGTGATTTATAATATTGTAATTAGAGTCTTCCTGTTAGGGATAACCTGCTTTTACTCACTAGTGTAGAGGTGTTACCTAATGGCATGGGACTGGGTTATCAGAGGACTGCCTCTCCCTGGTTACATTAGCTTGCCCCATTAGATCTGGCAAAGAAGTCATGCAGTGGGTACCATCAGCTATGGACCTGCATTTGGTAGGTTCTTGGATACATGACTTCTCTGCTGTGGCGCCTACCTTATGGAACCTTCTTTCTCCCAAATTAGATTACCTCTATTCCTTTGATATTCTGGAAGGCCCACAAGATCCAGTTATGTTATCAGGCCTGGTGCTCTCAGGGAACCAGAGACATGGTTAGAAGGGTACATTGCTGAGGTGGCTTCTCTGTGCCTAGGTTTTGTATATCTGATTTATAAGATTGATTTTTAATGTGATTTTTATTTTTCTATATTTTTTTTCTGTTGCCTCACTGTTGCCCCACCATCCATCTTTTCTTGCCCGTGCTTGCAATGGCTGCACCTGTGCAGCCGGCAGGCTGGATCGCATGCTTCCCCCAGTGGCCACAGCACTTGGACCAACCTGCACTGTGCAGGCTGCAGGACCCCAGAATTCGCTGGCTGATGGGCCACTGAGAGGCAGTGGTCTGTGGCTTCTTTCGGGCATCACTGGGCACCACGTGCTCACTGCCTCCTGTGCGGGCTAGGATGGGCCAGCACCGGGGTAGCGGGGCCAGTCCCTTGCCTCCAGGGTGGCCCTGTGGGCCGTATCTGGGCCCATCATGTCTGCATTAGAAAAATGAGCAAGGCAAGTTAATTTGGCCTTATTTAAGAAAACCGTGCTCTAAAAGTAACTGGATTCTCTTTATTGAAGTATACTTTGTTGCAATGAAACACTTCCTGTTGTCTTCAAGCTTTCCGTTGACTCTTACCTCTGTCATTTGCAAAAGTCAGATGTTTCTAAGGAGGTACTTCTGGCTTTAGGAAGTTCTGGAAAACACTTCAGTTTCAAGGAGAAGATTGGTAATATTCTAAAACGCAAAGACAGGACAGCAAGGGCAATCTCTCTCAATACAAGCTGGGGGGCATAATTCTTAAAGAAGGCTGTGGGTCATAGCGTTCTCTGGCTTTCGTGATGTGGGGATATCCTCACAGATTTTCCCAGTGGCACAGGCTTCAGGATTTTAGCAAGTCATGCTGCAGAATACTAGCAAGAATGGAAGTAACTTTGGTGCAGCTGCTTCACATGTGCAGAAGCCTCTTGTGGCCTTTGCAAATGTGAAGGGGCTGTAAATTTTAGCAAAGTAACACAATCTCTTTCATCTTAGAACATCTTTGATCAAAGAAAAAATATATAAGTTTAATGCTGACTGGAAACCTCATATCAACTTTTTGCGTGAAACAGAAAAGAATGAATTTATGATATATGGATTTCATGATTAGAAAAAAAATAGAATATAGAAAAAATGAAAGTCATGTTTTATCTATAGAGCAAGGGATTAATTTACATTTAAAACTTACAACTGCTGCAAAAGAAAATTAGAAGTTACTCCTTTATATTTTCATTATTTCCTTTTTTCTTCACTTTTGACTTTATCTTTCCTTTCTTCATTTCTTCTCGTTCTCCTAACTATTCTTATTTTTATATTTCTTGTTTAAAATCTTAATAAAGAGCCTTACTTAAACCTTTTCTTCCATTTTGGATTCATTTTATTCTGATTTTTAAACAGTTTTATAGCAACTGTTTATCTTTGTATTTTAACAATTCTATAGCAATTGTTTATATTTGTATTTTCTCTAACATTTACCTTTTTGTGTCTTGAAGGCATAAATGGAAACAAGTACTCTGAGACATCCACCATTCTTGAAAAGTACAAAGTGGGAAAGGTGATTGGTGATGGTAATTTTGCTGTGGTAAAGGAATGCATAGAACGGTGAGTATGTATAACATTATTTCATTGCAACTTTAGAATGAACAGTGAGAACATATAGGCAAATTATTGTAATTTCAAGGAGAATTTTAAAGGTTCTTCCTCCTTTCTGGAACATGTTAAAAAACTGGAAATCTCTACTACAAATCTCATAACTATTATTGGCATGTGAAAATAAATATCAAAATTATTTATCTATTTACCTGGGGGGGAGCATGATGCCCATCATGATAATGGATTATATATACTAATTCAGTGACTAGCAGGAAATTTTGAAAAAATATTATTAGCACTAGAAACTAATATTATTAGTCAAACTACAATGTATATTCTTGATATTCTATGCAGTTTCATGTTTCTAGCTATTTCACTTTTTTTTTGTCCAAGCTCATTGTTAGAAAGGTTGGGGAAAATATTTCTTAAATAGAGACACTTGGTTGAGATGCTAGGTTATAGAAATTGAATAAATAAATAAATAAATCATATAAGGGACAAATGGTAAGAATAATGGGAATATTCAGTGTATCAATAACTTTATTAGCAAAGATAGGCCAACACCATTCTTTTTCCTTTTGTATAGTAATTGTCAGCTATGATTACAAATTCCACAAGACAGTAGTGTAAATTAGAGTTTTTAGTGGAAATTATAAAGGTAACTTTGTTTAAAAACAAGGTTCAAATCTAGGAAGCCCCCATTACCACTTACACAACATCTGCTCAATAACTTTTACATCTATTCCCAATGGAAGGCCAAATGAGTTGCTGAAGATCCAGACATACGAAGACATATAAATGAACCTAGGTATCAGGTTTTTGAAGTACTATGCCAGCAATGGACAATCCTGAAAAGGATTTGCACCTGCACGGCATAGTATCCTCCCTTCAGTGTGACTGCGGGGTCCCACATCAAACTGTAGATCATGACCAGTTGTAAGCTAAGGGCATATACTGGTCCAATATCTGGTTTTTTTTCTAATATGAACAATGTTGTGATTCATTGGTTAGATGGCTTAGATGTTGGTGTCTGATTATAGAGATTTTTAACATTTTTAACATTTAACATTTTAACATTCGTATTTTATTGTGTTTTTTTTTAAATCTTGGTGAAATGTTAATATATTTTGCAAATCGTTGTATGATAT